GGGGTGAACAAAGGCCTTCTGTAGCGAATCGATGCGTTTTTGTAAGAAAAATATCCATATTCAAAACGTAATAATCACTTTAATGTAGCTTGCGCTCACTGTTGTACACAGAAGCAGTTCCGGGTGGATGACGTATGAGTTCAGCATATGATGATAACAGCTCATTCTTAACATTGTGTTTTGTCTGTGCATATGACTTTTTCTGAAGTTTTTATTTTTTACTTTTGAAACCCAAAAGTGATTATTGTTACTACAGGATGCGGTATTGGTTATTTAATTTTTTACTATTACTGGTATTGGCTGTTGGCTTTCTTCCCTTTTTTCATTTTTAACTGCAAACGCAGGACCTGTACAGTCTGTATGGACAGTGTACATCACATATCTGCTCTTCATCATCTGTGAAACAACGGTTTCTTTAGCGCTTCTCATGAAGCAATCATACAGAGGGATTCAAAGCAGAAATATGAACCTTGTGTTTAAACCAAACTTTAAATGAACTTTACACACCAGGGTTGGTAAGTGTGAGTCTCACTGGTGTTATGTTCATATTTGTAATGTTGACGTGTTGTGAATAGTTTTTTTTTTTTTTGCAGGCCAGCCACTGTTCCTTTGTTTTTATAGATGGAGAAATATTTAAACATTCAGTGGTAATTAATAGTCATACATAAAACTACTGCTTAAAGATCAGCCTGATGTTTATGTTTTCAAAACCAGCTTCTGTAGGATGATTTTATTATATAACTGCAGTATTATATCTCTTAAATGTAATAATAATTAAAAAAAAGCTTTCATTTAGACTAAATTACAACGTAACACTAAGGGCTTGATGCTTAACAGATCAGATTGAATATGAATATGAAAAATATTTCAGAATCTCTTGACACTTTTATCTTTTATGCATTAATACAATGTTTTTACTGAAAGGTGCTATAACGGGTTAGCACATAATTAATCAGAAGAGCTTGTTTTGAATTCTGGCTTTAGTCGATGTTCACATATTGTCCTGGGTCACTTCAACACTATAGTCACAGCATGTTTGTCTACAGATCACATGTTAAGACTTTTTATTTTTTTGTAAATATGTATTTTTTGTTGATTCTGTATTTCTGCATGCTTGTCTGAAGTGCAGGTCTAGTTGGATGAACGTATAGTGAAATTTGCTTCATGCAATCAGTACTATTGTATGTTGCCCATCATGCCACTTTCCATACGTAAAAAATAAAAGCAGTAATATTCTGAATTAGTTAACTGAATTTTAGTTATTATTAGTGATTTTTAATTGTAGTTTTTAAAATGTTTTATATATAGTATATAGATTTTGATTTTTTATTTCAGTTTTAGTTGTAATTATTTTAGTACATCGTTAACAAACAGTATTTTGAATTCGTTTTTATTTTTAAATTGTGCTTTTTCACTTTAACTTTAGTTGTTTTAATTTTTTATAAATGTCTGTTAGGTTTTATATCAATTTTAGTTTTAGTTATTTTAGTACATCAAGTTAAACAAAGTTTTTTATTAATATTTTGAATGAGTTTTTTTAAATTTTGCCTTTCACTGTTTTATTTTAATTTTTTTTTAAGTCTAATTTTTATTTCAGTTGTAGTTATTTTAGTACATCAATTTTAAAATGTTTTTTTTTTTAAATTTTGAATTAGTTTTTACTTTTACATTTTAGTTTTAATTTGACTTATTTTTTCTTTTTATGGTTATATGGTTTTAGTTTTAGTGCATCAAGTTAAGCTAAATAAAAATGAGAATAGTTTCCTTGGCAACTAGCTGAAATATATATATATATATATATATATATATATATATTTTTTTTAATTACAGGATGTATATAAACATTCATTTTAATTATTTTAAATATAATACAGATAAAAAATAGCAGCAAAACAAAAATGCTGATGTTGAGCATTCAAGCTCCATGCATGGTATGATTTTGAACAAATAATGTAAAAAGAATAATCTCAACACAGATGGCTGATAAAGACGTATCTTTTTATTTAACCCATGGGATTGAACTTGTACAGTGCATTTCTTTACAACAATTATTCACTAAGTGACAAATTGTAGCCACTATTACAGACCAAATAACTATACATCACATTTCTGGGTTCCTTTTTTAATGCATTTAACTAAAAAAAAAGTGTCCTTCATCAGCACCACGGGGAAGAAAAATCAAACGGGTTCTCAGTGTTTTTAACCTCATCGATTCTCAACAAATCATCTTCTCGTTGTTAAGCCTCTAGCTATTGTACCATTGAACATGTTAAACTTACAAATCAGTGAATCCATAAGAAAATCAAACACGTGGCACTGTTGAGAGGTTCACCGTTAACAAAACACAATCAATGTAGAGCCGAAGACGCAGACGACATGAAAAAGAAATCCTAGCACATGTAATGCTGTTGAGATCATGAGCCCTCCAATACAAAAGTCCTTTCAAGTGATTCACCGGTTTCCGTTTGTATGATTCAAATATTAATTATCATCACTGGTTTGTTCAGATGAAGTGATAGAAACACGCTAACATAGACGGAGCAGCTAGTTTTACCATAACGTACACAACATACAGCAGAAATGTTCAGCTTGCTGTTTTTTTTCTTGCGTTTCCTGCAACAAACACACAACCAGCCAGATTAAACATGAACTGAGCAGTGATTTTGTTTATATATTATTGACATGTTGGAATTCGAGGTTGATTTTGGCATTTAAAGTCGTGTATTTCACATCAAACGAGAGTGAAACCATTTCACAGTTCAGCTAAAGCTCGGTTTTGACGGGAGCGGCTGAAAGACGAAATAGGTCGTGCTCTGTGCACAAAACTGCGATCAAATCAATGCAAACCGGCAGCTTTCATTCCGTAACTGCCCCCGCAAATCCCTCCAGTTCCCCAAAAATTAGAATAACCCAAACAATTGTACATTCAAGCTTCACAGCGAGAAAACAGCTGCAGATCTCTCCGTTTTGGTCTCGAACCCCCTCCGTAGTGCACAAAATAATAAGGATAGAGAAGTTTTTAAATACTGTAGCAGCTTGGTTGGTTTTAAATAGTGAGCCTCTCGATAGACGCTGGGTTTGAGGGAAGGAGGCAATTGTCCGCTGTGTGTGGTGCATTTGAGATGAAGAAACACCTCTCTTTGGGGGTTTTTTTGAACCCAAGGACCCTTTGGGTTCAGTTCTGGCCTCAACCAGAGAAGCTTGGAGTTCACTTGCAGAGATAAAAACGGCCCTCCATCGCAAACCGCGCTCGTTTGTTGGATTTCCTCCATCTCGTTCCGCGTGTGGATCAGTCTCAGAGCTGGACTCTAAATCGCCCTGGTCTCGCGGTTGCCGGGGGGGAAGGAGGCAGAGAGCGTCTGATTGGACGCCGGCATGTGTGGCGCGCTGTGATTGGCCGTCTCAGCTGGAGGCGGTGGCGATGGCTTTCTTCAGCTGTTGCGAGCGCAGCTCTCGCGTGCGGGACTCCAGCAGCAGGTCGAAGCAGGTGTTGCACACCAGAACCGGGTCGTACAGCTGCTGGTCTGGGATGGGCAGCTTCAGGTGGCAGCAGTCCTTACAAAACACGTTCCCACAGTTCCTACGAGAAATATGAGATATGAGAATCAATCACATATGTGACCCTGGAGCACAAAAGCAGTGTTAAGTCGCTGGGGTATATTTGTAGCAATAGCCAAAAA